TTTTTTTTTTGTGGCCATACTGACCTCCATCTTTTTCCAGTTTTGGTTTATCACCCTTATTATCAGATATGTTTCTACTCAATGAAAACAATCCGATGTCACAAACAGGAAAGTGCAGACGGAGTCCTCCACAGGCAGTGTGGGCAGTTCACGTGTGCGCACCACACTGACTTTATGTGTGGCGACGATAGACTTTGATTCCCAGGCCTGTCAGCTCAGAGTCAAAGGAACAAACATCCAGGAGAACCAGTATGTGAAGGTCAGAGTGCATTTAGAATAGTTTACTTTCTGGAATATTTAACTTCAGCTTTTTTTTTTTCTCCGCATTTTTTTTTTCATATTTCAAAAGTTTGTTGCCCTTCTCACTTATGACATAGAAATGTATTATATAAATAGTGTGTTAAAATTTGTGCTAACACCTAAAATAGAATTTATACTTTATCAATTTGAATATTAAGGTGAATAACAGATACTTGCCCTCAAGGAATAGTCCATATGTTATTGAGCCTAAATGTGAAAGCTGGAATGAAATGAGTCATGTTTCTTCTCGTGTCATATGCAGATGGGTGCCTATCATACCATTGAGCTGGAGCTCAACAGGACGTTCACTCTCGCCAAAAAAGTCTGGGACAGTGTGGTGTTGGACAGAATTGGTAATGTGTTGGTGTGTTGAGCACACAAAATGAGCTTTTCTGGCTGATAACAATTTCACATACTATGTAGCAAAATTAATGAGTAAAATGCAGAACTATTTTTTAAAAATAAAGAAAAATATTAAATGTTTTCTTTTAATTATTTTAGTTTTGTAATATTTATATTATTTTTTTTATAATATGTAGATATCCACGTTTGAAAACAGGAATTTACTTTCTTCTGTGAAACACAAATATATTTAGCAAATAAATCACTCTGCTTTCTATTTTCATGCAGTGAAAATGGATGGTAATCACAGCTATCAAGCTCTAAAATGGCCCTTTTCCCTGTATCTGGTATCTTTACAATCATTTCCCACACAAACTAAAATAAAAATAGATACAATTGTGAAAGTGACTTTTTACAGATGCAATGGTTAAGGATGTTTTTAATGCTTTTCTTATTGGTTTGACGAGAAGTGCGAGTAAGACCTAGAAGGCAAGTGGGTACATTTTTATTATTATTATTATTATTATGATTCAAGTTACTATATTAGTATTTCCAGGCGCTTCAGCTTCATAAAGAAACTTGATTCATGTGTGCCTTCACCTTATTGTGTGAGAAACAGCTGAATTTTGTAGTCATACTTCAAGTATCTTAATCAAGTAATGGCTTGACAACTGAAGTCACCATTCACTTTCACTGCATGGCACAGAGCAGCCATGAGCATACTAAAAAGTTAATGAATCTGATCCAGCTTATCAGTAGTTTATTTGAACCCTGATTCTGCCTTTATTTATAGAGCAGGCATGTGATCCCGCTCAGAAAGCAGATGTGGCTGCTGTTGTGATGCAGGAAGGTCTGGCCAATCTGGTTCTCGTGACTCCAGCCATGACCTTACTAAGGGCGAAGGTTGAGGTCACCATCCCCCGCAAGAGGAAAGGCAGTTGTACCCAACATGACAAGGTGAACCGATAAAACTTTGTGACAAAAAAATCTGACAATATATTTGTTTATCATTATATTGAGCAAATGACAATGACGGTTATCAATAGATGTATAGTTTTTTTTTTTT